GAGACCCTCAAGCCAGCGAACCCAGCCATCCATCTTCCAGCCTGATTGGCTTTTGTTTTTGGGACCCCTGACATCTTCATCATCTTGTTGACCTAGAATCATCCCAGATACCATGGCCTGGACAAAACCGGAAGGATTTTGTGTCGAAGTCTCAGTGAGACGGGTAATCCTCTCGATGAAGGCAGGCTGTCCTGTGATCCAACCCAAGCGGCAACCAGGCGCAATGGTCTTGGAAAAAGTGTCCAACCGAATGACTCGTCCATCTGTATCTACAGACAAAAACGATGGCACAAGGGAGTCCAAAAATTGGTATCCGGACGATTTTCCGTGAGTATTATAATTTTGCGTGATAAGTGACTCGTCAAGGGGTGTGTTACGGTAACGAGCCGCCATTCTCTGCGAAGATGGATACTGCATATTCCAGTACGGATCGTCCTCGACGATGATAATGTCGTACCGCTGGCATAGAGCGTAGATCTCTTTCCTGCGATGAACTGACATGGTGCCTCCCGTAGGATTTTGACCAATCCTGCAGCCGCACGAGAAAAAGCGGAACCGTTAGTTTGCATCACCTGCACCAAGTATCGCAACAACCAATGACGATTTTGACCGTTGAACTTACGTGATGGTATACAACAAGTGAGGACGACGTCCTTTACGATAATCCCAGGTTTCGAGAACATCGGCCAGACCACCTTTGCCGTATGCCAGCATACCTTGGGCATCTATAGTGACTTCGGCTATGTTGAGACCACGAGGCCGAGCTGTTTGTATGGCATTCATGTAAACAAACTCCTCGCAGAGGATGCCTTCACGCTGTCGAATCATGTCCCTATCTGGACTCCAGGTGTTTGTGAAAGTTTCGATAACCTTGTTGAATCCATCGGTCGCACCGCAGCTGAGGAGGGTTTCTGGACCTCCCGCATACGGCACATTGGGGTGCAGATGCTCCCTTGTGAAATTCCGAACGAATGATGCCATAGGAGGTAATCCCTGTGCCGTGCTGTACTGCAGGGCAGTGGTGATGTCGATTTTCTTTTCCATATCGTCCGTTTTGCTCTCTTTGGGGACAATAATGCGGGCTGGGGAATCTGTATCCTTCTCTGGTGCCGCTTTGCCATTGTCCGGGGCAGGGTCGAAACGCTGAGGACGAGCAACGGTAGCTTCGAGCGTATCATATGGGAAATACGAAGCGTGAGGCATGCCTGGAGGAAATGAGTCAAATGTATTGATTAGACGATATTATTAGAGAAAGCCCGCCCTGCATACCGCCAGAGAGGTTTCCCATGCCTGGGATGACATAGTACTTGTATAATCTCTTGAGGTTACTCGACTCACGCCGGGTTGTGGTAACAGAGAAGTGATGCGATAAGTCCAATGGAGCGGACAGCTCCAGTTGCTTCGACCGAGCCATCTTGAGCAACCAAGTCCTTTCACAGCAATTTGATGGAGGAAATAGTTGATGAGAGAAAAGACAACCGCCAGGTCTACCTTGCGGGGGGGATAAGCATCAGGGCAACATGATAAAGGGTCCGTGAATCCTGCCCGTTATCTCCTGCCAGTCGACTGGAGAATCATCACAAAGTCATGATTGATAAGCAGATTCAACGGAGAGTGGGCCATCCGGGGGGCGCCGTTGGCGGTCCATGCCTTGGCCTCGGCGAATCCTAACGGTGGTACAGATACATGGGCGATTGCTAAACCAGCGAATGTTGCCAGTGGACCGTAAAGTAGGTTCAGTCCAAAGAATATTCATGGAAGCATACTCGAGTCTCAATTGGAATGAACAGCCCTGGAAGGTCAGATATAAGTAGGATGGCCTTGTCGAATTGCTTGATGGACATGCGGCGACAGCGGTTAGACAAGCACAATAGCATCACATCAATGGCTAGATGGATTGATGAAAATCAGACCTGGCTTCCCTCTATTTAGCAGATATCTAACTAGTGTTTGATATGAGGCAATGTGCTGCGATTTTATTACAACTGCTTTTTAACGGGTGCTAAGAATGATGCAGATCTGGGGAAATTCAAAGCTCCACATCTTTGTATGGTAGTACATACTGTGTCTTGACAGTCGCAAGTACATGAGTCCAACTGTTTTATGGTCTCTCACTGTTAGAGAGCTATTTTATTTTTCTTCAGCAACGAATGCTACTCATCCTAAATTTTATTCAAACATCTTTCGTGGCCACCTCCAAATGTCTTCGCGCCACGAGCTTAGATAATACTGCGGTGCTCATTCCTGATAGGCTCATCCCAAGGCAGCTGACTGCTGATGACTAAGGAGCCTGTCGATCTTCAGTTGGACAATAAGGATTCCATCTTGTCCAACTCTCACCTTTCCATCATTCTATTCTTTGGATAACCCTATATACTTTCATTTTCATCTGTAACATTGTAGGACATGCCGTTCTAGCACAGAAGAGAATCAGCGATGCTCTTTCACTGGCTGTGAGATTCGTTCTTTTTACTACTAGTTTTCTTGACCCCACTCCAGCCATCTTATCGGCTTAGATCGATTAGCATCAATCAGCTACCCGTCTCTTTTCGCCGTCTCCAGGTCTTGATTTTGATATTTGTCGCTGGTTCGATATTTGTTTCATAGAGATATCTCACAATGATTGGTGAAGGTCCAGAGGACGGTTCTCGAGTCTATATCCCGCCGGTTCTCGACTCCGAGACTCGTGCCGTGGATCCCGACACTTCCGACGACCGTTTGCTCCCCCGAGATGAAGAGACCGGTTCCAGTTATGTTCCCGTTTGGCTACGGGAATCATCTAAGTCGTTTCGCTGGGGCTGGGTACCTCTGCCTATTCGAAAGGTTGGTCGCGCTACTGCGAACTGGGTGAAGGGCCCTAATCCTCCACATTCGCTGCTGCTCAAACCGCTATTCCCGCGAATTCAAGAGCTTCCAGTCCGGTATCTGGAGCGTTTCTTCCCTAAGCGGAAGCACAAGATATCTTTACTTATACTCCTATATATCGCTTGGTTTACTCCTTGGACCATTGTTCTGCTTCACTCTCGTTCGGCTGGCTACATCGAGGGATATGGACGACCGCAAACCCTTTCGTGTTCGACGACCTTTTGGTGAGGATTCATTGCTTGATTTGTGTTTAAGGGTCTGTTCTGACTACCTATCAGGGAGCATGGAAATGCATGTGGTCTCAACGGGAACGATTGCCGTCCCTTTTCTGCCTCCACCGTTGCCTTCCGTTGCCCCGCAAACTGTCACGATGTCAAATTGTTGCAACCTCACACGGTTGGCAATCAGACTTATAGCTATCGAGGGCTAGTCGTTGGAGGACCACAGCCGGATTCATTGGAGCCCGGTGTGTACCGAGCCGACAGTTTCGTGTGCCAGGCTGCTATCCATGCTGGTGTCATCACCAACGCAGTTGGCGGTTGTGGTGTTGTGAAGCTGGAGGGAGCGGCGCACTCATTCCCCGCTTCGAAACAGAACGGGATCGAATCTGTGGGTTTTCCGTCGACATTCCCAAAGTCCTTCAGCTTCGTCGACCTCGCTTCCTCGCAGGCTACTTGCCCTTCCGATCCAAGATGGCCTCTCCTGGGCATAACCATTGCCGCTCTCGCACTGCTGTGGCTCTTCTCAACGTCACCGCCGGTCCTGTTCTTCAGTGCCTTTTTCATGCTCTTTTGCCAAGTGGGGCTGGTGTCTGATCCGCCCTCGATTCCCCAGTTCGCCGACCTTGTGTCCACTCTACTTGCGCGATTGTTACCAGCATCGTTTGTAGTCTACGTGCTGTACAAGTATTGCGCGCGTCCCCTCTTGACGCCACTTTCTCAACCCAAGTTCCAGTTGACCAAGACATTCCTATTCTTGCCACCCGCTTTTATCGGCGGCTTGAACAATTACACCTTTGCGAGATTGATTCCGCTGGAGCGTCTGACCCCTCATGATATTCAGCAGCAACCGGGAGCGAAATTGGCGTTGGCACTGGTGATTCCGACCGTGGTCATCGTCATTCTCAGCCAGGCCTGGCAAATCCGCCAGGGTGGCTTGATGCCGCATTATCTCAAGGTGTACTGCACCATGGGTCTCATCCTCCTGATTCTGCTTCCGCTACCAGGTCTTCGTCTTCGAATTCACCATTATATTCTTGCCATCCTGCTGATGCCGGGAACGGGACTTCCTACGCGACCGTCGTTGATCTATCAAGGGCTGCTGCTTGGTTTATTCATTAACGGTGTGGCGCGCTGGGGCTTTGCATCGATCATCGAGACACCCACAGCCTTAGGAGAGCTACCGGGCTTTGACGGAGTCAAGGGTTGGTGGGGGTCAACCTACCCCAACATCACAGATGCGTCTGTCATTATTTCGCTTCCTGGTGCGGGGTCCCCTGAGTATCATGGCAATGGTAACATCACTTTTGAGCTATGGGAGAGGGAACGCATGGCCAAGCTCAATGTCGATGGAGTCAGCGTTTTAGTCAATGATGTGGAACGCTGGCGTGGATACTTGGACGAGGATAAGCGCGGAGAATTCACCTGGCACCGACATGGACATAACGGTCTCGAATTGGTACACGGTCCTACGATTGAAAGTGACCCGGACGCCGGCGTGGAAGTCACCGATGCGAAGGATGACGACCAGCCTGAGGATCTCTTTTTCCGCTTCGCGTTCCTTAGAGGAGCTGAAGCGGGCAAGTACGGTCCAGCAGGTGTTTGGCTTGAAGACGGGTCGTGGCTTTCACCAGTGCCTCCGAAGGCTTAGATGTGATACCCTTGCATACGTTGGTTATGATTTTGACGACAAAGACTCGGTTAGATGATACAAATGACTAGATACATACTGATGATGATAAGGTTGGGTATTGAGGCGCTGTTCGGTTGATACTTCTTGCCAAGATGATGAGTTCTTTACCCTGCGTTTGATCCCCAATTGATTCCGGTCTCGCTCCGTATCCTTATCAACAGTATGTAATAACAGTATTCTCATCATACCTCTATTCATATACTCCGTACCAAAAAAAGAGAAAATCAAGCACAACCGGTGGCAACAGCTCCAACTTCGGTCGGATAAACCGCCGTCTGACCAGGCTGCTCACACTTGCAGCTCACCGTCGTAGGAATCCCTTGGCTCTCACACGCCGCAGGCGAAGTCAGACAATACTCGGCCGTGGAGGTGGCAGTCGTCATCCCAGCAGGACAGTTGCTCGAAGGCATGCAGAAGGTATCCACGGTCGACCTCCCAGGCAGCAGTGTCATACTGTACCACTGATCCCTGGCACACGAGCACGACACAACTATCACCAGATTAGCCGCGCACTTAGCTCATCCCCCCGGGCTGGGGCCGGTGGTTGTTGGGGAGGAAGGGGAGGAAACTCACCACTAATCGTCGTGCTGGTCGTCTCACCCGCCAGCACACCTTCATACAACGTCGACGTCGACCAGGGGATGCCCCCGTTCGAGCACTCCGTCGTGATCCAGCTCGCGTCAACGGGGTAGCACGTCGACTGCTCGATGCAGTGGCCCGGGTGCCAGACGCCCGGGAAGTACCCCGCCGAACAGGAGATCGGGGGCAGCGGGCTGTGGCAGTAGGAGACCGGGGTGCCCATTGTGCAGTCTGTTGTGTGGAGGAGGGTGGAGCCAGGCCCGCAGGTTGGGGTTGAGGCTGGAGCTGTGGTGATGGGAGCCGCTGATGTTGATAGTGTTGTTGGAGTTGGTGTTTGCGTTGGTGTGGGGGATGGGAGGGCCGAGACGGCGGCGGCCGCGAGGAGGAATGGGAGGAAGATTGCGGCCATGTTGATTGTGTTTGGGTCTCTGGATTATTGTCTGGTATGGAGTGGTTGTGAGGGGGAGGTCGCCTTTATATTTGTTGATTTCTGGTTTACAGGACAGGGTCCAGTGACGGAGTCTGAGTCTCCGTGTCGAAGAGTAGTACAGAACGACGTAGTACAGAGCTATATTAGGCTCAAGGCCGAGTGAGGTAGACCCTACGTCTTTAGCAACTAGCAAGTCAAATGTCTTAGACATGCAGTGCCACTGCACCTGGAAGGAGGCTGTCGAGTGCTCAAAGCCACACAGTCGACGCAGTGATTGGGCTGTTGCTGCTGCAGGATGGATCGACGGCCAAGACTGCCGAATACAGCATTTGGGGTTTCTGATCTGGTGGCGGGTGTCTCACTAGAGTCAGCTTGTCACGTTGCTCAAATCATTCAGTAAGCAAAGAATAATAAGATACTATTTTTACGAGGCTCGGGGGCCGATGGTTTCAACGAATGGGTGAAATACCGGATTTCTCCAGTCTTGATTTCAATTCATATATTCAACAGGACTTATCAGCTCATCGAGCGATGGACATGACGCTGTCCAGCCTCCTCCCTCAGGGACAAAGCGGTAGGGTGGAAAATGTACAGAAAAAGGAAGAAAAATTGACAACAGGAAGAATGATATAAAAGGGGATATCCTGGAAATCAAGACAAGAGCACAAAATCTGACGTCAGTCAGCCTCTCAGGAGACAGTCCTATACGGACTCGAGTCAGATGTTCGGACAGAGCTGAAACATCAGGCAATCAGAGCAGGGTATCGTGTGTCAGAAGATAGAAGGGGCCTAGCCCCTTCGGTGAAGATGGCCGTGGCCATGACGCTTGTGGACATGGTGAGCATTCTCGTCTCTCTTGACGGGTGGTTCCGCGGGAACAGTGACAACAGTCGAGACGACCCGGGTGGTGGTGGACGTGGTGGATGACAGCGTCTCCAGGCTACCGGTAGAGGTCCCAAGGATGTTGTTTAGACCGTCGACCCAGACGATAATCTCCTGCTCAACATACACAACCTCTTGAGTGACGGCACCCTCAACATAGGATGTGGTAGGAGTCGGAGTCCAGGTCGAGGTCGGCATGGTGGTCGATGTGGTCGTCTCAATCGTCGAGCTCTTGCTGACGGTCGGCTTGCTGACTTGCAGGTTGTTGGCAAAGGCACTAACGTGGAGCGACAAGCCCACAGAGACCGAGGAAGCCGCTTCGGTGGCTGCACTAACGACGCCGGAGACCACAGAGCTGACGGAAGCGGCAGCGCTGGCATAGGCGGGCCCCCACTGGATTGCGAGGTTGTTGGGGAGACCGCCGCTGGTCAAGGTCACCTTTTCGTTCTTCAGGATGGTCGGGACATCGAAAGTGCACTGTCGTTGGTCGTCCTCGGACTGAATATCGAAAACGGCACAGTCTTCAACCTCACCCGAAGCGTTGGTGCACTCCTCCACTGCCTGCTGCAGGACCCCCGATTCCCAGCCGTGCATGAAATCGCCATGATAACCAAATCCTGTAGGATCGCCGTTGGAGATAACGAAGTAGCCGTCCTTGTCCTTGAACGCATATGTATCCCAGATGGTCTCGTAGAAGAGAGAAACGACGCGGGTCTCGAAGCCCTCGGGACATGTACCGTCCATAACCAGTGAGGGATAGGCCACGTGTGACTTGTGATCATCCGAGTCGACATCCTTGCCGTTCCAGCACGAAGGGAACATCAACTCGAACCGGACACCGTCGGTGCAGTGCTCGTCCAGGTACGTCTTGTTGGGAAGGAAATGGCGGCCAAGCGAAGGTTCCGGATCCAGAGCATAGTTCAGGCAGTTGAAACCAATCGCCTTCTGCCGAAGAGCAGCCTGAGAGGCTTGCTTGCCTGTCCATTCTGACTTGGGAGGGTCGGGGATCGGCCAGGGAAAGTTGCGCAGGTATGTATCGCCAGCAATCATGCGGAAGTTGTCCGGAAACGCGGTCACGTTCTCTCCGTAAAGCAGGTAGTAACTGTTGTCGAGGAATCGTGAGCTATGCCAGCGTTTCAAATTCGAGACGACACTTACGCGAGCATGCCTCCAACCTGATCAACAATTTCGGCATCGCCATTCTCATGCATAAAGTAGAGCGCTGGAACCCAATAGGCGGACTTGTCCTGAGTGACGGCGCACGAGGTACAGCTTGATGCCTTCAAGTCAGCCTCGCTAGCCGACATAGAAAAGCCTATCAAAGATGAGCATCAGTACGAAGCCGAGTGCGCATGAAGGCTATCCCACTAACCGCCAGACCCATGAACTGCATGCACGTGGGAGGAAGGCTGGCCTGGATCCATGAGAGGGTCCATTCTCGCAAGACCACTTCGTCCACGGCAGGGAAGACGCCAGAAGGCGTCAGTGAGACCGGACAAGGCCAGTAAACCGGTCACCAGGCCGACATGCAGCCTCATGATCCGAGCCATAATAGTTCGTGGCGCTCCTAGACTGTGGTTTCAATTTCAAATGAGCGGATCTGATGTCGGATTGTAACGAGCGAAATGGTCGGCTAGAAGCGTCACCAGGAGCAATGAGTATGAGCCAGGCACAGAAATACAACCAAAAGAGTGTAAGAAAGGAATGAAAGGTCTAAAAAGAAACCGTTCGCGATGGTGATGCCTTGACAGTCGGGGGTACATAGAGGTGCAGGCGGCAGCCGGCTAGGTATAGTAAGTAACAGGCAGTCCAAGGCCAAACATCAACATCAACAACAACAATGGCATAACTTGTACATTGCACATTCAAGGCACAGCGCACTGATCAAGATCCAGTCAGGAACAAGGCCCACGGCACAAGAGAAGAGCTTCAAAATCGTTTCAACCCTAGTGGTTCATCTCTGGAAGGGGAATGTCCCTTGCATCGAGGGTGGCAGTCACATTCTCCGCTCCATCGCCGGCTCACGAGGTGTACCTGAACAGTTGGAGGTAAAGAGAAAGGAGGATCAAGGAAGATTGGTTGAGTTTGAAAGTCAAGCTTGAAAAAAGGGGACAACGCAGGAAGAGCGAACGAAAAAGGTACATACCCTTCTGTCGAGGGGCTGTTGTTATTGGTGTAGTGTTTGTTGATGGATTCTTCGAAGGACGAAAACCGGATAGTCGGTTCGATATAATGTGGCGAATGAATGAAACTGGAATGCAGGACCTTTCAAAAGCCCTTTATTGAGAAAGTTGTTCGGTTTGGATACTCAGGAAGTTCAGTTGTACTCTCAGACCAGCAGATCACCAGTGGCTTGAAACGAACGACAGGAAGTGGGCGAAGAAGCAACGCTGCGACAGAGAACGTCTAAAATCCGAAGAGAAGTACTCAAAAGAGTGGAAAAGACGACCAGAGCGTCTAAGAATAAATGAAATAATGAGCGAAGGGGGAGCACAGGGATGGTCGCAGGTCGAGGTAGAAGAAGAAGGGAAAAAGAAGATAGGGTCTATGGAGTATGAAGCATCCTTTTTTGTTAAATAAACCCAGCCATGAATAAAAGGAGAAGATACAGATGAACGATCAAAGAGTCTAATTTGATTAGCTCTATGGAAGTGATTGAGACTCTTGGTCTGAGCTTTTTTTAGGGGTAGCAGTAATAATTTGTAGTCACTGGCGATATCAAAATCCAATCTCCAGATATTAAGAACCTTAAGCGAGGACTTTTACCAGAAAACCTTCCATGTATCGGGTCTCTACTTCGTATTATTATTATTATTATTCTCAAACCCTCCCCCTTTCTTTCTTGTCTTCTCCTTGAGCAAGAAACTTGAAGAGAATACGTAGTCATTCTTGGCCTGGGACTGCTAAGAGCCAAATAGTCCTTTGGTGTTTGACCAGAGTCAAGTCTACAACTTGAGAGGAAGATCCCGTCTCATAACATCCACTAGACCAAGACTCTAAGCTGCCCAATAATACTACTACTAATGACCGACGACGCAGACTATCGCCGGCGGGTTGTCTCCAACCGGGCGCTATCGAGCCGCGGGGGTTTGGGAAATGGGAGTCCACTCGCCAGATGGATCGAGGGGGCTCAGAGAGGGGCTGGGAAGCTGTGCCTGAGGGTTTAGATAAATGATGAGAACATCGTGCTCACCGTGTCTTGATCAATGAAATTCGACTGATTAAACTCGAGCCAATCAAACTGAATAAGATGAGCAGGATGATTTGGAGCTGATACAGATGCGCTTGTTGGTGGTCGGAGGCGTTTCATGCGACACCAGAAGAGGCTCTCTTACAGTCTTACCTAGGGCCAAGGGAGGCACTGCGCCCCTCCACGGTCTTTAAGTGATCCCCACCTTTAGCGTGTGCTCTGTTTGTTTTTCATGATTCAGAATTCAGAATTCAGAATTCCTGTTTGTTGGAGTTGGAGTTGCAGACTTGCAGTCAGGATTGGGTTCTGCCCCTGAAGATCGTTGCTACTATGATTTGACTCTTCCCCTCGACAATCAAGTTATCAACAGAGGTCGAGCGATCATTCTCTTGGTCTGTAGATACTCGATACTCTGATCATCATTTTCCTTGCCAAAGCAGAAAGAGGAACAACTCCTGTGCTCGTGGCCAAGATGATTCCCGTCTGTTCCTGACTAGTGGGAGGCAATAGCAGACTATGACTGGTGATTGGATGGTGTCCACACAGGTTGATGCTTGGCTGTTTCATCATTTGCGTTCATCTCCCTTTTTCCTTACTTCTTTTCTTCTCTTTCGCGCTGAAAGTTTGTTAGACTCAATTCTGAAACATAGTGACATCAGTGCGAACTGGATGGGGCGCTTACCCAGTTGGCGGGCTGTCCTAGTGTTCGACTTCGACACCTCGTATTCTGGAAGGATGCAGAGCTAGTTTTTGAAACAAATGCAACAGGAACTGTTTGACAGATACTTAAATTATTGTCGATTCTGCTATATGATTCCTTACTGTCCGTTTTCCAGGCGATTCTCTGAACTGATGCCACCTTGAAGATCTCATTGATCGCGAAGCATGTCTCAGTTATTTCAGGAAGCAACACCACGAACGGTGGACCATTTCCACCATCACCTATCTAATAATACACACAAAACAACCTCCATCTCGCTGACGAAGCTTGATGCAGACAAGCACTCGATTCAATCCCGATCCGAGTCTGATTCGCATCACCCGTAGCATTGGATGAGCAGTGTGCTTTCCCCTTCCTCCATCTGGCATCGTGCAGCTATATATACCCTCACTACTTCCCGCTGGTGGGCCTGTTACCAGAAGATTCTTGCTACTCACTCGTTCACCAAACTGATCATATCCTCCTTCATGATGCGAATATGCTTCGCAGTCAACAAATCCTTGCACTAGCAACTCCAGCCAACTCCTTCCCATAAAGTCCCATGATCACTACAGGCCTTGGCCCTATTTATATCAGTCCCTGGCACCCCGTCAACTCTTCCCTCGTTTCGCGTTGCAGCCATAAAGTCTTACCAAGGTCTTGACGGTTTCAGTCTCAAACGAAGATGTAACGCTCTGCACGGGCAGATGCCAACATAGTCAGAGTGTGAATGTCGATACTCACTGACTGACGCTTGTCTTAATTATCAAAGAGAATTTCCCAGGGAAAACTATCAATGCTGGCAGTGTACAATTGACACCAATGACAAAATGAATGACTTTGGTATACTGTACTGCTGTCCTTCTTGGGGTTATCAACCCTCACCCTCCCGCGATATTCAAATACCTAAATTGATGCCTCTCCTCTATTGACAAAGCCCTGCTCAGTCGCCTTCAGGCTTACTGACCGATTCTCAGACACTAATACTGTCTTGAAGTATGCAATTTCCATTTAGCCAAGGGAAAGGAAAGTGACTATATAAAAGTTAATCGACCCGACTCAGCAGCCGAATCATGAGAATCCGGACTTGCCCTACTCCTTACAACCTTGATCTTACTAAATGGAAATTCTCTTCTCAGCACTCTATCTCAAAAATACAGTTGTCAACCACCCCCTGTTCACCATCTTGCCTGCCTTTTATTACGGGGAAACATGACTGTATAGCGATTAGTGGCCCGACCCGTTCGGGCGAGCACTATCCGAAAAGAGCAATCCTGTCCCAGTTCACCCCACGATGAATCCTCGTAGTCAGCTTAGAACGACTACATCTACCGAGTAGCAAAGACACTGCATCCACGCTGTCTCGGTTTTGGAAACAGAATCCTGAGACTCCAGGCTTGGATTTCTTGCGCTCCGCAGGCAAGCTGCTGCAACCAGGAATGAAACAGGCTTCCCCGTATTCTCGGGAGCACACGGGATGCGATATTTGATGTATGTCGCTGTGCAAGCATAACGAAGTCTTGTATGCGTCCGCCTGTTTCCGGAGCAGAGGAATCATATAGATGGCAATTCTCTCTGCTCTGTGATCACGACTTACAACTGTTGCACTCGAAAGTGGTGAAGCTGGTCGAATAATCTGCCAAGTCTGAGGATCTGAGATCTGTGGCGTAGGCTCTGCCTAAGTCCAGGTCACAATTGCCAGCCTTGGCATGGATCGCTGCCTGCTATGTTAGTCTGCGGGGAGATTCCGAAATTTCCTGTCCAGGTATTTTGTCACGAGATTACAAGCCATGCAGTCGATTTAAGACAAAGTACACCTGAAAATGGAGGCCAGCAATGTCAGAATAACAGTGAGCACGACGGAGTGAGGCTCTTGACATCCTGCTCAGGATGATTGGAAGGAATGTGGGCTATCAAGTATGGGCAGTGCCGTCTAGGAGTGAGGAAGGTCTGTATTGATATTCCGTATCGAGTCGCATAGACGGCACTACTTAGTCAACGTTTGGTACCATGCCGTCATCGCATCTGAACGTACAAATCAGAGACTCGGCTGCGATGAGATCCACAAGCACCAGTGTGTAAACTGTAAAGTGGGTTAGTCGGCGGCGCGGGAGCCTGGAGAAATATAGCCGAAAAACATTAATGCCTCAGTGTTTCTCCAAAACAGCGTATTAAGTGAGACGATGGTCAATATCAGCTTTCTCAGTCTATCGGGCTCAGGATGCAATTGTAACTGCTGGCGAGGGTCGTGTCCATGTCATCCCGTGAAAGAGCAACTGAGTCGTGACTCGTGAGGATAGTTTCGGCCCGAACAAGCAATCTGCAATCAGGCCGAGCCGAATCTCGTGGCGGATCACAACTCCCGAATACTACCAGCGTACTCCGTACATAGACGGAATGACGTCCTCGCGCACAGAATTGAGAAACAGTCCAAGGCAAGTTGGCACCGGGTACTTTGCTAGCCGTCCACGGATCCCTCATTATTGGCGCTGGAAAGACACTGCAAGTGCAGTTATGTCACCGCATAACGAGTCAAAAATTTTGCAGTGGAGCCACACGCAGTAGTGGAGAGGAGCGCCACATTCTGGAGTAAAAAACTAAGGATCAGCCAACGATCGTGCTAACCAGACATATGCAATCAGTGTCGCCCTACTCCGTAC